AATTCTTCGAAAAATAATTTATTATTTTATAATTTACATTAAGTTGGTAAATTAACTTAAAAACATTGAAGTATTAAAATAATGGTTTTACAAAAGATAGTTTAAGGAAATAAATAAAGCAAGTTACCCTTGGTGTCCATTCTGGTAAGCTTTCACCACCAGCAGGGCTATTGTTATTGGAAGGACCAAGCGACAGAGGTGGTTGCCGGTCAGGCGGATTAACATTGATCTGATGAACCGGCATCACTCTCTGACCTCAGCAAAGATGTGATCAGTGATAAACAACATTAAACAAACACATCTTAACGAGTGTTCGACAATTGTTTTCCATTGGTATCATGTTTAAGTGCAAATTGATAGTTAATTATATAAAAAAACCTTTTGCCATGATGTTTAATATTTAACTTCAATATGCATTTAAGAACCTGAAATTACATTATATTTACAAAACATTACACAAATTTGAAATTTTTGTAATACTCATATTTACATAAAAGTATTTACTAAAACTCTAACATTAATGATCAATTTATAATTAGAAAACAATATGATTATATATGTTATATTTACATCAGCTGTATCTATTTACAATAATTAAATTTTTTACGTAATATGTTAAGTAAATTTATTGCTAAAATCAACGAACGAATACAGAAAACTCAAATGACTTGAATAAGTTAAATGATGAATTGCAATCTATTTGTTATTTAAATTTGTAATGTTCAAACAATGACGAAAGAGATATAGTATACAAAAAACACTGACAGTAATAGAAAGCGTTGTTCTGCATGTATTTTATAAAAATCACTACGTAAACGTGACACTTGCGATGGAAAATATTCAACAAAAAGAAAACAAAGCATTGGCGTCACATACATATTTTCATTTCCGTGGAAATCGTGCTACAAGTAAAGCTTTTATTTAGTTACGATGATTAGCCAAAGAATATTCTCTTCAAACAGTTCGATTTCAAATGATTGCGTGATGTTTAATCAAAGAATTTTTGGTGGTCGCCTTGATGAAGTTTCATGAAGCACGAAAGCAAATCAGAACGATTTTGACACTTCGTCTCAAGTCAATGACACACTATAGGAAACTCGTATTCACTGCAGTAAATTAATTAACTTGCACAGTTTAATGTTTAAATTGTTTAAAAGTCACCTATGATCTATCACCGTTCACGTTTTGAATACGCGCGACGACCCGCATTAGTATTCAAAATTACCACGAATACTGACTTCATTACAAAGCTTAGTCCTTTCTCCATAACAGACTGTCTATCTCATTTCTCTGATGCGCCGCCATAACGTAAAGTGTAGGCGTGGCGTGTGCACAGGTTTATCCAATCCAGTGTTCCAAGATGACATTGAACATTCTTACACCAATGAACAATTTTCAATTCAAATTTAGCGTACATAAAATATGAATTTGAAAAATGGGAAATTAGAAAAATAAACGCATATTATAATTATACTAATTATTTAATTTGCATTATCATTATATAACGTACATACATTTTTCTTGATATACATTTAATATAATAACAAATAAAAACAATATTTTCACTACACACTAGCAATTATTTAATTCAATCTTCTTAGACAAATTTTTTATACATCTTCTAAATTATTCTGCTTTGTAGATGAAATTATATCACTTTCATGAAACTCATTAATACAAGAAAAATTTAAAATATCTTCTTCCTCATTGTCAAAGCATGTGTCATCATTACATATGGCTCTATTACTAACATTATCTATGTAACTTGGTAATATATTTGGACTAATCATAGAATTTTTTACAGTTTGAAGACTTTTATAAATAGTACTATCTTCACAAAAATCAGTAGACAAAGTGTTAAATGTTTCTGGGAATTTTATATTTTCTTGAGACTTTACATGTCTCTCTATGTTTTTTTCATTAAAATTATTCATACTTTCAGTATTTATTGTTTCTAACAAATTCTCATCTTTCATATTTGCATTAATTTTTGAATGAGCAGTATTTGAAAGTTCATTTTTTATATCTACAGATTCAAAAAGCTGATAGTTCTTATTCTTTTTTTTTTCATTATAATTTTCTAAGAGAATTTTGTTTGATAAGTTACATCTAGCATTATCTTCTATACTTATATTACGTAATGTATGATAGCTTTTGTCATAAAGTATTTTCTGCACACTTTTATCATATTTATTTTCCAAATCAAGATTATTAATATTTTTCAAATCATTATCAAACTTATTTAAAGCAGATAGTGGATACTCTGTATCATTCTTATTTTCATATGAAGAAGCACTTTTGGAACGAATATGACAATGATGTATATCATTATGAAAATATTGATTATGACTATTATCATCCTGAGAGTATTTATTTACATTCTTATTAATAATAATTTCTGATTTAACAGGTTCTGTAAAAAAACAATGAAAATTGTTAATAATAATTTAATGTTACTTTATATAATCATGAATATGAAAATGAGCTTACCAAAATTTTTAATTTTTCCAGTAGATGTGTTGGGAATTAATTTTCTAACTAACAGACCAGCTATGAAATAAACAATCTGTATATAAAGAAAGTTTAATATGAAGACTGTAACTATTAATTGAATCAAATAATATTTACTTTGAACATTTTTTAATTTTATTTATGCCAAGTTAGAGAGTATATACAATTATTTAAAACATATAATTATATTAGTAAATGTAACTGACTTAAGTATGTAAGGGATATAACTTTGCATATGTATGTTAGGTAAGTTGAGGACATTTCAAGGTGGTAATAAAATGTAAACATTGAATGTACTTTATAATGAGATTCATTAAAATAGATATATTTAAATTACCAACATAGTAAAATACTTTAAATGCTTTTCTACATAATGAACATGTAGTTATAAATCCTAAATTATTGTAAAGAAAAAGAAAACAAAGTTACATGTAGTTAAAAGTTATATTCATGTAAGTCTTTGAAGTTTACATAATAAAGGAACATCATATTGAATTAAGAATGAATTTTCTGAGCGTATGTGATTTTCATTGATTTACTTTTTATTTATTTGAATAATTTTCATAAATTTATGTTAAATTATATTTCTATGACTGTAGAATATATATGTATAAAATATTGAAAAATTAAGTAAAGAAATATGACAAATAAGAACTATATGATTAAAAGTATAAACGTGTACAAAATTTTAATCTGGCAGCTCTTTTACATGTTGGACATTTTTTAGCTGTATTTAGTGCTAATTCCAAACACTGTGCACAAAATATATGTCCACAACGAGTAGACATAGGTTTCATCTTAGAAGATAATTGTTCAAAACATATTGGGCAAATCAATGCAAGTAAGTTTGCTTCAGTAGAATCATCGACATAAGATATCGCAGTTTGTTCTGGTGGACTGGTTTTGTCTAAATCTATAATTTCCATTGCTTGTACATCTTTACATGTATTTTCAAGTGATATTTCTCTAAAAAGTTAATTTCAATTTGAAGTAATATTATTTAAAATCCATAAAAATTTAGGAACAAAAATATAACAATACATACATAACAGAATCACTATGCTGCATTTGTTGTTTAGATGAGTTACGTTTTCGTGACTTCGTTCTTGTGTTATTGTTAGATATATTTTCAACATTTCTATTTCGTAGTCTTAAACATTTATCCACTGGTGAATCTATTGTTAAGTCAATGTAATCAATTGGGTCTGACATATTTTATTTTAACTTCCTTTTTTTATTGTCACCTACAGAGTATATGTATACATAAATTTACTAAAATATTACAGAGGTTAAAAAATTAACGGCGCATTTTAAAAAATTCTATAATCATTTATCATCACTTTGTTTTGTTATATGTTTTTATTATACACATAAGTGTTTAAATAGCAGCATTTATAAATATTGTCAGTTGAACTTATTTAATGTTGCTAGTAAATTATTTTTTACTAATCGTTTTACCATAAACTTTTGTAAGTATTAAAATTATTGAGTATCGCAATACCACGAAGAAGTATTTTATAACACAATTCTAGAAATTTACCAGTTCTCATATAAACTCGAAATTTTTCGATACTTTCGATTATCGATATTTTTATTTTTCTCGATACATCAGCTTTTAACCAATCCTAGAAGGC